TAATTTCGAACGATAATTATAATTGCATAAAAAGAATAAACGATATAAGAGAATTATTACACAATATTTACGTTTACTTATACATTTTTCACACACGGAACGTTTGGCGTAACCATTAAAAACAATGTACAAAGTCGCGTGAAAAAGAAAATAAAGAATATTATGTTTTCTGAACCGTTGATAGGTTGAAAGTTGTCTGTGTTGTTCGACGCGTGTGCACACGTTGAGCGTTTATCGGGCCGATTTTAAACATGACAAAACGTTCGTGAAATCAAATGTCACGTATCAAAATGACGTTCAAAGCGTGCCTTTTGCAGAGAGACAAAAGCGGTCGTAATTAATGCTTTTAAACGCGCGCGCTGTACTGCACAAGCTCCTTTTGTCAGTTGGACACATTGTACCCGACAAATGTTTACGAACGACCACAGAGTAGCGGAGCGTGCACAGTGACAGAGGCTGCCACGCCGCGGGGCTGAAACGCGCGCAGTTTTCGTGCGGGTTTTCAGCGAACGCGACACATTGAATGGGAAAGGTACGGTCCGATTTCACCCGCGAGGTTTAATTACTTAATTACGTTAACGCTCGATTTTCGTGACATGTCGACGAGCGGACTAAACGATTCCGTTAGTTCTATGGCAATTTTGTACGCAGTTCTCTTTACCCTCGATTAAAGTATGACCATATACGACACTACGCATTCATAAATTTGTTTCACGTTTGAAACTTTACGCTTAAAATGAAATTCAAATTTTCTAATCCAATGTACATATTGTGTGTTATTTCTGAATAAACTTCGTATTAATATACATATAAGATGTCATTTATAAATAGCATAAATTTAAATGAAATGTTGAATAAAACTTTTAGCTATGTAAACTATTCTTTTATAGTTATATATATGAATATTTCAAACATAAAAATATGTAATTAAATATTTATTATTATTATTATTATTAAAAATATATAAATACAAAATTAAAAATATTATAAATATATATTTATAATATTTTTAAAATATATATAATTATAATTATAAAAACAAATTATTTGTAAATTAAACAATATTGGAAAATATATTTTTTTAATTTTTTTATTAATTTTTTTATTATTTTGTTGTTTTATATAAATTTTTTTATAACGATCAAATTGACAATTATTTTTCTTCTCATGATTTCTATTTATTTGAGTTATTTCAATAGGAACATATATTGTGAACTGTCCTTAATGTCAATAGTCATAAAGTCGTAAAACTTTCGACAATGCTCATGCTATCAAATCTAAAGCTCTAATTTTAAGCTAGCGAAACAGTGACAATGATCATAAAAGAAATTATTATTTCTATGATTATAATGCGATTATTGTAATAAATTATATACAAATTAATTACAATAATATTTGAAAAATAAATTTTTCATGTTTTATCAATTAAACATAACAATTTATTTTAGTTAATTTCATAAAATTAATTTAAAATTATATTTTTATTTAAGATATGATAAAATAATAAATAAATCGTAAAAAATATTTGCATTATTATGTACTTATTACATATAAACAAAAATTAAGCTTTATTTATTATTTATCTTCGATTTTATATATAAATTAAATGGAATCTCATACACATGATTATAATAATGCACTATATTGAAAGATAATATATAACAATGCATTTTGTGTTTAATTAATTATTGCAAAATATATATTTCAAACCAATATTTCCATAAAAGTTCATTGACATTATTGACTACATTTGATAGTTACGAAAAAATTTGCAACGTCGTAAATTAACCATTGTGAAGTTCCTATTACACAGTGAACTATCATTACAATCACAATAGACATTCAAACGAATAAATAAGTCATTTTTAAAGAGTGATAATATTTAATGTCTATATAGATATTATTATTAAAGATAACTTTTTATAGATTTATTAATAATAAAGCTTAATATAACATTATATATAATTGAAAAGTAGTATATACAATCACTCATAAAAGTTTTCTAAAAAAGAAATTTTTACTTTTTTACTACTCAAATAAAAATAAAATACTATAAAATTGCAAAATTATTATTTTATAAATTCAATATTTTTTTTTGCATCAATTACTAAAAATTATATGATTCCATTTATAAATACATAAATATATTATTTTTATAAAATCTTTATTCTTTTTTCATTTAAAAAAAAAATTAATTATACCAAATTATATCTCTTTGAAAATCATTCAATTATTGTCTGAATTATTTTTTATACATGTAATTTACAAATAATTTATAGATTTATAAATAAATTTGGACATCTTGTACATTATTGTCTCTTTTTTAAATTTTGAGTTTCTTAAGTTTCATGTTATGCAATGTTTCATGAATTTCAATTAGTAAATAAATTAACGAGCCTATTTTAATTTATTTTTATCACAATCCATTATATCATAGTAAATCTCTTCTCGCACGCAAATTTGAAAGTTGAACGTGCGATACTTGTTATATAAACTTATTAAGTCAAAACTAGAGCAAACTTGAAATTATCATTTCACGAAAGTTGCACCTATTGTTCCTGCATTGTTTGAAACTGCACCGCAGGACACAGAAGCTGGCCAATTCCAGTTTCTGCTTGGATTTGCTACGTCGCGACAATGGCCAGATTATATCGTAGATATCGCGTTTGAGGAACAATTATTATCGAAATTGTAACATTTGAAGGACCTTCGATCTTTAATCAACAATAGAAATTATAAAATTATATTTTAGTATTAGTTACATTATAAGATTTGCTCTATCAAATGCAATATAATTATTTAAAAATTATTTAGAATAATTTTTTTTTTATTTTAATATTAATTAATTTTGAAAAAAATTAGATTTAGCAATGTTTGGTATTTAGTATTTGTGAAATTATGAATGTTACAAACAATATTTTACAATAAATATAATTTGGAATCCATGTTAACACATAATATATAACATAACATAACATATATAATAAATTTAGTATTTGACACAATTTAAATAATCATGAACAATATTACCATGTATTTATATTTCTATTTTCTTCTCAATTCAATTAAAATCTCGCTGTAAAAAAAAATATTTTCATTAAAAATAATAAAGAAATTTTTAAATGTATAAATAATAAAAACAGAATTAAAATAAATTATAAAAAATACTTATAATGTTTCGAAATTTATTTCGTATAAATAAATCTTAAAAGACTTAAGGAAAAAGTAACGTTTTATAAAAGCATCCCTGTTCCACGGACACGATACGAGAATTCCTTGAATGCACCGTTCACGCGATATTTTAATACTTTTGTAGCTTGTCGTTCGTGCAAGTAAATCTTCCCTGTGATAAGCTCCGTTAGGAATCTCACCCCCGCGAAACATCTCCCGTTTATAAGAAATGTTTTCGAACTTTATGAGGTGATGCGAACGTTCGTCGTTGGAATGGATCGAAAATAGCTCTTTCTTTTTAAATAACAAAATCGTCGAGAAAAGCGAGGAAAGCGTCGTAAAACTTGCAATAAAAAAATAATCAAATATGAAAATATTATCGTCGAGATAATGCAACAAAAAAATTACTACCATGAATAATCTCATATTTTTCGATAATATTGTTTATGCTAACGAATGATTTAAAACGATCTATTTATTATATAATTTTCGATATATTAATTTTAACTAAAATTTTATTTACATATTAATTTATTATTTTGACTACTTTATTTAATTTTATGAAATAAACATATAAATTCTCATTTCACTGTAATTACAAGTATTTGAACCGTGAAACCGTTGTTATTAATTACATTTATTGATTTCAACCAATATATCAAGTAAAGCATTAATTCGATATACATATACTCCTATGATATCTCTATAATTTTCTGCCAATATTATATAGACGAGAAAATCAAAGGTTTATATCGTTCTATTAATAATTTAAATTTATTATGTATATATTTTAAATATACTTACATATATTTACATAGATTTTGCAATAACTTTGATACATCAAATGTAAGAAAATGCAATATTTTCTTTTCTATGTATAGATAAATTTTTAATAAAATACCGGAAGTTTTCTTTCTTATCTCTTTCCAACATTAACTTCTTCGTGCAAACAAACAAACAAATTCAACGAAGAAAACGAAGAAATAACATATTACGACTTTTAACACATTACTTTTGCTTTAATCTTTCATCATTGAAAATGCATTTCACAATAATATGAAATTTTCCTCATATATTATTATTATATCTAACATGTTGTTAACCTAAAAAGATTGAAAACAAGATTGATATAATATAGTTAATAGAAAATAATAATATATAATAATAATAACATATTATATGAATAATAATAACATAAAATAATATAATAATTTATATAATAAAAATATTCTCTTTCTTGTAGATTAATAATTTTGATCAAATATGCATATATCCACATACGTATGACATAACCTCTTAACGGATTAAAAGCATCTTCTAATATCTTATCATAATTGAATATCAATCTTAACTGAAAGCTCCCCAGACATGTTCGTTCGTACCGAAAAACCATTCAATTATTATTCAATTACAGACAGTGGGAATGGTTCCTCAGTGCTGCAAGCACGGTACCAGAATCGAGTGGAATCCAGCTGAGAAGCCGGGCCCGGTAGACGTCGAACGAGTAGGATTATTCGCCGTTGGATCGGGAGCTGGAGCCAGGACACCGGGGTCGGGGCCGGGGCCGGGGAACAATGTCGGAAACGACGAGGACGGTATGCCGAGATATGCAGGATATCGCGCAGAACTGCGATCCTTCGAGGTCGGGGCAGAGGCACGGTTATAGAGAGAGCCGGTGTGCGCGAGAGTAAAGTTAGATACATATCCTCCGGTTCCACTATCCCCACCATTCACGATCCCCCACTTTCGCCCACCAATACCCATGTACCACGCTACGTCACCAACACATCGACATCGAGGCGCAAACCGAGAGAGAATACGTCTAAGTGTATTACCTCCGGGAGAGCGCACCGTTCCACCTAAATATGTAATAATATCTACCGGAGATACCGGCATTCCTCGACCTCGAGAAGAATTCGATCAAAATGTGTCGCGATACTCTGCTGGTATGCCAGGTGAGCTACGCGTTTCTCCCCGTCCCCTCTTGCCTCCTTTCCTTAGACGTTTACGCTTCCTACGTCTTCTTCGTCGAGTTTGCCCGAGTCATCCCCTCCCCCTCCACTCTTCCTCCCACTCGAGTTCTGTTCGAACGAGATCGGATGCGAGATCGGCGTCTCGCGGTGTCTCGACTATTTTGAAGGGTGGGAGTTTCGAGAGTTTTGCGGATATCGAGAGATTTTAAGAGAACTCGTTCTTTCAACTATTTTCGATTGTAATCTCGATTATTACAATGATCGATTATTTATTCTTTGTTAATTTCTAAAATGGAGAGAGTGAATGTTTGAGAGTTTGAGAGTGAAATTAAAAGAGGATTTGAAAGTTGTGTGTGAATGAATAAACAATTATTAAATTAATATTTTTTATGTGGAATCTTAAAAATTATTAGTTAACAAGAATAATACATTTGGTTGATTGGATTATTTATTTTTTCTAAACAATAAAAAATTTAATATATTTATACAAAAGTTTTATAATTGTTTGAAGCATTCTATATTTTATACATATTACAATAGAAGAGAATCGAATGAAATGAAATAGTATGAGATTAATTCGACATAGGATAGCAAAGAGATAGAATCAATTCTTCGAAAAATATATCACACGTTTCTTAACACCCTGTATAACTGCAGTAAACCGATTGGCAGCTTGTCAGTTCTCTTGGAAAACAATAGCGCATCGATGCAATTTTATCGATGTTACAATCGGCAGGCAAGTCGATACTCAAGTTGATAAATATCAACTACTTTCCTTCGGCATATTTCACAATGCACGTCCATCTCAAGTTTGTATTAGTATCGTTACTATTCGTATAATCGAATGCGTTCACCTTCGGTGCTAATTTTTTTAACACTATTTTCCAGATTATAGAGATAATTAAATTTTTCCTTGAAAATTTGAAATTTGTGCATTATTAGAGAGACGGTAAGGAAATATCTCATTTTGAATTTTTTTTTACAGCTCTGTTAAGGTATAATCTTTTTTTTTGGTTAATTTATTAGAATAAGGTTATTTGTTTCCACTTTATCAAGCAATATTACTTTTTTTTTATAAAAATTTTTGATTATAGCATATAAAAATGATTGAACAGGATTGAATCGAATCTAAATGACTTAATATGACATTCAAGAATTAAATCAATGCCGTTTCTTTTATTCATTCATTCTTTCATATTTCATATTTCATTCGACGATATTTCGTAATTTGCCTGAAGAATTTTATCCGACGTGTAAACTCTTCCTCCCTCCTCTCCCTCTCTTTAAAAAAGAAATAAAAAGTTGAAAAATAAAAATAGCTCACAATGTACGAGGATACGGAAGATGCATCCGATATAGACGAAGATTTTTTCAACGCGTTAGCGCTTCTACACTCGACGGAAGACGACAGCACAGAAAAACTTCGTAAAATGCTCGATACGTTCATCGAAAGAAGGTATGGATTTGACAAAACTTTGATGGCGAGGATGCCAAAGAAATTTTTGCAAAATACGAAAATCTACGGGAAATCAAACGAAAGATCGGAAACGTCCTCGCGGAAAAGGAACATCGCCTCGAAGAAAACCGGAAGTCAGTTGATTTTTGGAAATAATGATAACACGGCGACAGAGAATAATTGGAAACTGATGAAAATAATTGATACAACGGATGTTGAGGATTGCAGCGAGAAAGGAGACATCCCGAGAATATCCATTCCTGATGAAGGATCTGGAGATGGATTATTGTGCAAGGTTTTGGTGATATTTTAGTAAAGTAAATTATAAATTATAATATTGTACAATTTTAATGACATCCATCATTTTTCTCCTTTCTGGTTAATTATGTAATAAACATTTTTTTGTGAACAAAAGTTAGCTTGAGAGAAAGTGCAAGAAAGAGAGATATGTATGTATCTGGGATGTTAAAAATTTATTTCAAAAAATAATGAAAATTCTCTATATCAAAATATATAAATAAAAAAATGAGCTCCACAACATATCAAAATCAAGATTATTTTGAAAAAACTAAGTTCATTTTATATCTTCTGTTATTTACTGTATTCCATATTATTATAATATTGTGTATATGTAATATGTGTATTCATAATTTAAAAAAAACTCACTTTGTAATTGTTATTTATATTTCAGATGATCTTGGACTAAAAATCTATATACTTTAAAATCTACTTTAAAGAAATAAAATCTACAATATTCAATGTTATATAATAGAAATATTTTAACTTCTTTAGTTTCCAGTTTTTTTTTTTACTAATATTCCTATTATTTACTAATTTCGTAGTTTTTTATAAGTTTAAAATATCTCTTTTCCAATTTTTAAATTTATTTTTAATTTCATATTTTATTTTACAAGATTTAATACGTCTAATTTGATTTTTGCTTGTAACGAAAGATCTGTAACGGGGCAAAGCTAGGACCATTGATATTGTTGGAGTGTCAAGAATGTCAAGAAGTCTATCATCCCCTGTGCCATCAACCCCCTGTCGTCGATATCGACGTCTACGATCCAAGAATCGTGTGGAGGTGTAGAAAATGCATGGACACTTCTTCCGTAAACTCTGTCATCGCCTTCGATGAAAAGAAAGTGAAAAGGTCTCGTCTGACCAATGACGAGGGAAAACCCAAAGAAGCTTCCACAAAGATGAACAAGTTAGTGAAATTGAATGGAAATATGAAGAATGAAACTGGAATCGTTGATCAAACTTCGTCTGGTAAATTTATGTCATTGTTATGCACGTTTACACCACCTGTCAAAAGTTTGAAATCATATTTTCAATTCAATTAATCAAGTATCTCGTTTGTTGCTGATTTTATTATTAATTCTTTAACGATTTTTCAATAACGATTTTATTTATTTTACATCTTCTATTCGTTAATCGATATTATGGCTTCACTTTTTTTTAAATTTTTAGAATTTTTGTAGGAAATATGTAGGAATATATTTTGTAGGAAATGTATAACTGATTTCAAACTTTTGATTCGCAGTGTATAATTTTCTACTTTTAATTTTCGGATGTAATAGAGACTATTTGTAAATTTAGATGTTTTACAAAGAAACATTGGTGAAAATGCTATAATTGCAAAAAGTAATTTTCATTCAAATCACAAGACGAGGACATCATCGTCGAGTCAATTGAGAAAACGAATCGGTTCGAAACTTTCAGTCACACGTCCTATTATAAAATAAATATTATTTACTATGTATTAATAATACCAAGCATTTAAATTTATATATATATATATATATAATAAATACAAAAATAAATTCAATTCATCCAAGAAATTTCTCTCGTTGATCAAAAATACTTTATTAAAGCAAAATAATTAATAAAAAATTATATTTTAAATTAACTATGTAAAAATACACTTGATAAATTTTATCTACGCATCACTTCTAATTATATCTTTCATATGCAAAAATTTGTTAAAATTAAAAGAAAATAACGATCACCAAAAAAAAAAAAGCAATAATTCAACACACCTAAGAGTAGGTACATGCACATTAGGTTTTATTATTTAATTACATATACATGTACAATGGAAAACCCATCTCCAAATACGTCTATTCTTTCAAACAAATCCACGCAGTTACACACTACATAACTTCATTCTAAACACTTCAATCACAGTGGTACAGGGTAGTATCTTATTTAAGCCGATTACAGATGTTGCTCGTTACATTAAACCATACCAACAAGCCTTTCGAAAGTGAACTTAATAACTGAAATAAAAAGACGTGGTTTCATCGCCTCGTTCATTCAACCCCTCTACTTTTGCCTCATTTATAAGATGTATCGTATCTGTCATCGTCAGACGTATCGTTCGGTTTTCTCACTTCTCTCTATTAAGGTCAACCGAGTTCAATTACCTTCGGCAGCCATGCCGAAGTTTTAGTCGATGCTCGATCACTTTCGCTCTAATTGACTTTCGTGCGTATATGCCAGTGAAGATCGAGCGTAACACACGTGAAGCGCCATAAGATTGCACAGAAGTGCAACACCTTTTGCTTCATAACGAATCTTTCGTTTCGTATTGTCGTTCGATATATTAATTCTTTCGTATACGAGATGTACATTATCGTTCATAAGTGCTCGAAGATTTTTAAACTTTTTTTAATGATATTTTTATTTATTTTTTAAGAACTGATTATATTATATATAGTTATACGTGAAATATATTTAATTAAAAATATAATAAGTTAACCTATTGTTTACACGAAAGTAATGTTTTTGTTATTTTTTTGCAATCTATTATTAACGATTTTGGACGATAATGTATTTATAAATGGAAAAAACATATAATAACGAATGACAAAATACGAAAGGATTCTATATGACCCAATTCTATTGATATTTTCGTGACCTAATCTTGTCTTACACAATTCAATCGTGAATATATACCAATGTAGATTAGATTATTCAAAATATATATTTTTTTTAAATAATTCTATCATCAAAATGCAGAAATTATAATCGAGAAATTTAAAAAAAAAGTTTAATTTTTTAATGTTACAAATAGTTATAAATTTTTGTAAGATGGCGACTTCACGAGATCAAGATCCCACAAGAACAAAAATTCTGAATTCTGTAATGTTATATACCTACAATCCAAAACGAAATATCATGCAAAAATAATTGGTGAGAAATCTCGAAGAAAAAAATATAAATAAATTATTGCTAATTTTTTAAATATTTTTATATAATTAGGTACTATAAAAGACATATACGTATACTTTGAGAAAATGTACTATACAAACATAAAAGCGTTATCATACAATTTGTGCCGATTATCACAGAATTGTCAATCGTTTAAATGATTCATACATCGAGAAAGAGAAAATTGATGAAACACACACTTTTCAATATGTCGCGAATTACAAGAATAATTTCATTGATTCTTAGGAGTCGAAGTTTCGAGAATTCTGTAGAATCGATATGCTGTTCGATAACTTCGACACTTATTGCTAATTCAAATCTTCAATCGAATCTACAAATTTTTTAAATCATTTTTCATAAAATTCAACGAGAAAAAAATATATACGTACATCTTATTTGTAAATAACTGTACAAGTAAAATACGGATTCACAAATAAATTTTGTTATTCTTAAAAATATATATAGCTCAAATATAATTCTAAAAATAAAGCATAGAGAAAATATTTTAGTTAATTTCATTGTAGTTTCTCTCTAGTTCTCTCTTTAGTTATTCTGAAAATGTTAACGTGTTATCATGATAAAAGTTTCCTAACTTCCTTTATCGTTATTACGACAAATTCAACCTTTTTAAATACGAGATCCTTAATACCCGCTATAAATTGTGTGGTCGAGTAGTTAAAAGCTCATTTCGAAATTACTATAATGTGCGTGCATGCATTAGAGAAATTAAATGAATAATATATATGTATATACGTCTAAAATCTCGGAGAGAGAAGATATTTTTCGTATCCTCTTTCTTAAGCTTTAAATACAAATATAAAGGAATATTCTAATCTAAATGACCATTTTTTGCTATATTTTTGGCACGTGAAAAAAAAATATACATTAATAATTTTTATATTGATTATATTGATTTTTTTTTAATATTTTCTTTAAGTTTGAATTTTTTTTAAATTTATTATCATCAATATAAAAGTTGCTATATTTGCATAATGTGGCATATCTGTGGCGTAAATAAAATATTTATTTTTTTCTTATTCTAAAAAAATTCGGGTATTTTTCAAACTAGATTAAATAACACAAAATAATGTTGTTAACATAATGTCTTTTTATATTGCCAATAATTCAATTTTAATTCAAAAAATAACAAGACCTTTATATTTTTTTATATGCGTATTAAAAACGCATATTTGAAAAATATCGAGAACTGCCAATTTGAAAATGCCATTTTGAGCAAAATTCTCTTCATTCTCTTCATTTAAGTCTAATTTATAACAAATTCACATATATATCAAATGTATTATAATATGTTATGCAAATATTTTAAAAATATGATCCAAAATTAAAATTTTTAATCTTCTAGGTTAGAATATTCCCTATCATCGATTGTTAACTTTCGTCAATTTCACTATTATTTGCAATAAAAAGATTTTTTCACTGTCTTTTCAGTATTTTAAATTGTATATATGTAGCATTTGCTTTATGTACATAAGGAGCAAAGTGCAATAATATGAATTTTTTTTAATATATGTATGTATAATCATTATAATCATACTATATACATACATATATGGTATGGTATCACTCTGCTCCAGAACCTAATTTGAACTACTTTACATAATAAATCTGTTGTTCGAACGGCGCAAGGTGACGTACAGCCTAATTCATGACAGTGATATCGTGCCAAATGGCCGACATCAATTAAATAAAGATTCTGACACATGTCAAGGTTGACTCAATATTGCATCTCATCAGCGCATCATGCTCTGACATCGAACTACAAACTACACACTACTTTACATAAACCGTTCTAGATCAGCCACGAATTAATCGTTCGTTGAAAATCGAACGCGATTTTATATAATAAGTTTTAATAATAATAAGTTATGTACAAGCTTTCTATAAAATCATTTACCGAGGTGAACAACAAGTGGATACAATTTATTATTATTTAAATGTATGTATTAATCTTTTGTATATATTTGTAAATATACAAGATATTTCGAGATGAAAATTTTGATTAATTGTTTGGAAAAAATTTTGAACAAATAATATTATATAAACGTATATTTATAATACACGTTCTATTTGTAATTGTCGCTATAAAATTTTTAATAATTGTTCGAATAATAATGTAATAAACTTTAATATACTTATGCAATTATTTCTTGTGTAATTTAATACTATGAAAATATAAAATTAATCTATTAACGTCAATATGAAAATTTATAATACGATATAATTCAATTCAAAATATTACAAAAATTAAAATTTATTTATATTGATTATACTTGTATGATTAAATGAAGAGCCTAAAATGTATAGTAAAATTATTGATTTATCATAATCATAATGATCTCAAATTATTACAATAATATTCAGATCGATAGATAAATCTTTCAATTTAAACATTATGCAAGCAATTTGATAAACATATATAAATTGAAAAAATATTTTGTTACTGATATTATTTTTATTAAATACGTAACAAATTTATTACGATTTTTATAAATGATTAAATTTTCCTAACCTAAACATAAATATTGAAAATAGAATTCTTTTATGTAAAATTATTATATTATTTAAATTTCCAAACAAAAAATCAAATAATTATCACATCTTTTTTTAAATCTCTTGTACATTATATATACATTATAAAATGAACTATTTTTGCGATTGTCTTTTAAGACAATGTACTAATATAATAATACATATATAGCAGTGTATATTTTATCTATGTGCATCGAATAGCAGATAGTTATAGATATAGAAACTCGTTTAATTTTGAAATATATTCAGATCAAATAAAATTATAAACGAATATCATCATAAAAATAGTTAAGAATATCAGAAATAAGTGATTCATTAAAGATATTCTGTTAGATTTAAATCTATGGATCATCATGGATGAGATGATGCCAATGACAGATACATCATAGTATCTTTAATACATCACTTGGCACGGATTTTAATGTTTGGTGTCGATCAATTAATTCATAATAATTCGCAATTATTTCTATATAACGAGTATAAACGCTTGATTTTACAATGGAATCATCAAGATATGTTTGATTGTATGCGATTTACGTTTTTTATATGCTTCTGAACACTTGAAAACTGAATTTAATGATCATTTTATGTATTCCAACAAAGGAATTTTGCTTAATAGTTTATTGTAAATGTATACAGAGAAACATAGATGATTGTATGTTATCAAAAAAATATTAAAAACAATGTAAAAGAATAAAAATTTCTTATATGAAAATACATGCCATGTAAATACATACATTTTTTTCTTAAGAACATGATGATGATTTTGTTCATCTGTTGTCCTTTTAGCGTTATATATAATGTCAAGGATTTATAAAACTAATTCCAGTAACTATAGCAGTGTGCTTTATCACAAATATTCTTTTTTCTTATTTAATGTTTTGTGTGAAATATTAATGCGAATACCTTTAAAGAGAACATGAATTTGATTATAAAATTTAATATAAATAGTTATTTGAATTATCTTCGTCAATTTGCTCCGTGATTTTTGGACGTAACACATTCATGCTTTGGTCAAGAATATATGTATGTCATAAGATAATTATAGATTTCTGTTTGAATATCCTCGTCTATTTTCATTGTAATTATCGAAATGCCAATCGAAATGCCAATCGTATTGCACTTAAAAACTTGTATGCTACATATATAAACATAAACAATAATCATATTCATAACATAATATTGCTATAATCCATGTATTATGTAACTATCAAATAATTTATTTCTTTTTTTTTTTT